GAGGAAGAAAATAAAGTTAGCAACTCCTTTTTTTAAACTAGAGGTTTCCATAAAATTTAATACTTATTAGTTTGTTTAAAATTACATTTGAGATATGACTAATTTAACAAAAAAGGGAAGAATTAACTTGACTTAAAAAAGCTAGTTAGTTAATTTAGGGAAATTCGTTATCACATGCAATAACACTCAATAAATAGGTTTTGGAAGTGTATTAATTCAGAATTTATATTAATTGATTATGGTGAAATAGATGCCTTAGTATCTCGTATCTTGATTAATTTTATTTGAATTGTTATTTTTTTACTATTTTAATTAAAGTTTCTTTCTTTTCAATTATTCAAATAAGTTTAGATTGATTATTTTTTGTACTTAGTTAATCGCAATCCTCGTGGGTTCAACACTTTACTTATCATTATATTACTTGAAAAGACTAGCACATTTGTTAGAGTGATTTTAGCACATCAGTCTCTTAAACATTCCTTCAAACATGTGGTAAATTCAGTATCCATATCAGCTTTGATAAATGTTATCCTTTCAAGTTTTTTTGAGTCAAATATCATATGTTTCATACAATCAATGGGTTCTATATGCTGCTTCTTTAAACCTCCATTCATGCCCCTCATGTCAATAGTTAATGCTTTCTTTTTACAATATCACTAGCTAAAATTAGGTCCCATGCTTAAAAGTTAGGATGTGGCATTGACTTTTTTGAATGTTTAAAGATGCACACTGCATTGGTTTCTTGAACCTTTGTGGATCTTACTATTGTTGTTCTAATTCTTTTTGGTAAGGGAAATTTCATCATCATATGCTATGTAGAAACAACAATTTGCAAGGCATTCAATCTTGGTTTCCCCTAAGATTACATTAAAAGAACATGGCACATCGACACCATTTTTCCAGATAATCCTCCTTGGTGGTGCATGTAGTTGGCATCATTACACAAGATTTATATTCCTTTGTGTTGTGCACAATTGGTGTTCCCCTGTTGGATCTTGCTTTAACTTGTGATTGTTTGTCTAATAACTCTTGTCAAACTTGTGTGTCCTGTAATTAAATTCCTATGATTTAAGCCTTTTGGCTTAAGTGGCCTCCTCTTAAAAGTTTCTCAAGGAAAAGGTTAGTTTTCTTAGAAAGTATAATTATTAACATTGAAAATTAGAAAAATATTTAGAAAAGTAAATATACTTAGCTGGAATCAGAGCTTTATTTTAAGATCTATGCATGTAGAATTTTGAGATGTCTATCTTGTCTTACAAACACAAAATTTGATGATGCTTTGTCTCCATCGGTTGTTATGGTTGAATGTGATTATAGTGGAGCTTTTTCAAATATGGATGTGGTTGTATCCTTCGCTTCTTTACACAACATTTTACAATGATTGCATGCTTCGTGGATTTTTATGTGTCATAGTTTTGAGTGCTTTTTCATGAAGTGCTTGCTCTTCTGTCTATCCAATCCTTATAATGTTGCATAGGTATTTAAGTCACGTCATAATTGAGTTACTAGATTTTGATATCCAATACATTCTTGCATGTGGCAGATGTTTACCTATACATCTCTTGCAAACACATGTTTATTTATTAGGCACATCATGACTCCAAATTAGAAAGTCCTACAAAGAAATACTCCTTTGTGACAGCAAATCTCCATGTATTATATTATCTAAGATTTTCTCCTGCATAGGTTCAAAGTAGCAATGAGCTATATAGATTTTGCTATCTCAACGTCTTCATTACTTTAGAGACATGAGAGCATTGTTAGTACTTTTAAGGTCATGATTGATTTTGAATTAATATATGAAAATAATTATTTTAACATTGTAAAAGAGATATGGATCTTATCTAATAAGTTGTTAATTAATTCCTGCATAGCTTTTTGTTAAATAATGCAGAGTTGTGCAAACAATGGTGCTTTAGGAATTCCAACGATCAGTATGTGTTTTCTTCATAGTTATCATTACCGTATC